TACCCTCCCCCACCCCTCCCCAAGAGCAGCGAGGCCTCTGGAAGCCTGACCCTGCAGCACCACATGCTGGAACCCGTGCAGAGAATCCCACGCTACGAGCTGCTGCTCAAGGAGTACTTGCAGAAGCTGCCAGCCCAGGCCGTAGACCGGGCCGATGCCCAGAGTGAGGACACCCCCGGGGGAACCAGGGGTCCAGGGATGCCCGAACTGCTCCCATGTATTTAATGAGCACCCGCTAAAATGGTTATGATGACCGTCAGCCATCAACATTGGTCGTTGGTACTTCCTAGACATTATACTATTAGTCATTTTTTACAGGCAAGGACACTAGGTCCCAGAGAGGTTAAGTGACTTGCTTAAGGTCACACAGCCCTGGAAAAAAGCAGTGCTGGGATTTGAAGCCCTGCCTGTTGGAAGCCAAATCCCATGCTCTTTCCACTGTACCCTCTGGGTCTGGCTTGGTTAACTGCGAGACACGGAAGCCAAACACATAAGCCCTGTCTTTGAGTGGCTGCCGGTCTCTCCACCTGGGTGGGAAATGGCCCCCATCATCCGGGCACCCCATATGCTGGGCTGCGCAGGCAGGGCTGCTCCGGAGGCGCTCACAGCAGGCCCTGAGGCTACCTCGTTAAGCCTCGAGGACCTTCTACCTCACCCACCAGCCCCAGAATTTCAGGGGACAACTCCGGCTCTTTTACCCTGTCAGAAGCCCTCGACATGATCTTCTCGGCGGCGCAGCACTCCAACGCAGCCATCACTGAGATGGTGAGCAGCCCAGCCCTCAGGGTGGAAGCAGCGGGCATCTTCTGGGGCCCTGTCACCATCAACCTGCCCTCTCAGCCTCCCTCAGCCCACCCAGGTCTCTGTATCTGCTCATCTCCTGATCCTGCCCATGGCGCCGGTCAGCTATGGCCCTCCCTCTCACACCCTGTCCCGGTCCATACAAGGCCAGCCTTCCAGAAGGGGGTCGGCCCTGCCCAGCCTTGGCTGAGGATGCACCTCCGTCCCCAGGAGCGGCTGCAGGACCTGTGGGAGGTGTACCAGCGCCTGGGCCTCGAAGACGACATAGTGGACCCCTCCAACACCTTGCTCCGTGAGGGCCCGGTCCTCAAGATCTCCTTCCGCCGCAGCGACCCCATGGAACGCTACCTTTTCTTGGTAGGGAGATGCCGAAGTCCATTCCGACTGGAGAGGGAAGTCATGGGCCACACTGCCCAGGTCCTTCCTGCCCAGTGTCTGCCTGGCACTGCGGGAGGAACAGGGAATAACTTGCTTCTTTGTCCTTCTCTGCTTTGTCACTTGGGTGACTTTGGACAATCTTGGCCTCAGAGATGTCTAACTAATAGGTTTCCCAGACATACCCTAGAAAGCAACAGAGTCAGCATTTGAATTAGGTCTGGCTCCAAAGTCTGTGGTATTTATCAGTGTTCTAGGAGTGCACAGCCGGAGGGAGTTAGGTTAGCTACTAGAAAGAACTGCCTCAGTTTGCACTGAAGAAGCCAGGGATCTCCTGGAGATCTGGAAACTGGTCCTGACTGGAGGTCTTGGGGAGGGTGCTACAGCTCTAGTAAGCCCCTGCCGCCCTGAGCTCCCATGAGAAAGGCCTCATAGGTGTCTGAGCTCTGCTGTGGCCCCTGGGTGCCCACAAGTAGGGCAACCCAGTAGTGGGAGCTGGCCCAGAATGTGGGGAGAGGGGCGGGAGATCAGTGGTGCTGGGCCCACCTTCAGGGAAGCCCCACCTGAGCATCCTTCCTGCCTCGGCCACTGCACACACACTCGTGTTGTGTCTCCTGCAGTTCAACAACATGCTGCTCTACTGTGTGCCCAGGGTCATCCAGGTGGGTGCCCACTTCCAGGTGAGGACCCGCATCGACGTGGCTGGGATGAAGGTGAGAGGCACCCCAATCACTATTGGGATTCACCCTGAGGGTGGGCCTTAAGTATGGGGAGTAACGGGAGGGGCCAACCTGGGTTCTCAATCCAGGAATCCAAACCGCAGCAGGTCCTGGGCCAACATGGAGGTGGAAGAGTTTGGGATTAGAGCTCTCCTGTCTGGGTTCCCAGCCTTCCTGTCCATGGTCCTCCCCAGCTCCCACAGGCCTGGCCTACCCTCTGGGTGGCATTCGTTATAGCTAAGCTCATTCTGCTTTCCCCACTACCTACACCAGTGCTTCCAAAACTTTAGTATGTACATGAATTCCCTGAGGGTCTTCTTAAAATGCGGGTTCTGATTCAGTAGGTCGAATGGGACCTGAGATTCTACATTTCTCACCAGCTCCCAGTGATTCTGGTACTGCAGGTCCACAGGCCACACTTTGAGTAGGAAAGGTCTACCCTGTCATCTAAGCTCCTAGCTGTGTGTGTCTTCATTTAGAGATGGCCAAATAGGAGTGGGGACAGCAGTCCATAATAGTGCCCATTGACTGGGCAGTCACCGTGGATCAGGTCGTGCATCATCCCATCAGATCCTCATAACAGCCCTGTGATGTAGGAGCTCTTACTATGCCCTGTAGTTTGGGGTTTTAAATCTTTTAAAAATCATATTTCCATTACTTTAAAAATATAGATTATATACATTCCAAAATCAAACAATACGAAAATATATGCAATCGCCTATCCCCTAGGTCCCCTTTCTGGAGGCAGCTTTGGCTTATTGTGAGGTCTTCCAGAGGTAGTCTTTGCATACTCAAACTGATTCTATATTTATTATCGCTTCCTTACTTTCGCTTCACATAAACGAATAGTGTATGTGAAAACCGCTTTTCACATACACTATTCTGCACTTTGCTTTTATAACTAACTACTAATTCTGGAGATTGCTGCGTGTCAGCACTTGAGGACCTTCATTTTCCTTTCGAAGAGCTACATGGTGGCCCAGCATGCGGACGTATTGTGATTCACTCAGCCAGCCCTCTACTGAGGGACGTTTAGACTGTTTTCAGTTGTCAGTCTCTGCAGATGAGACTGCATTGAGTTACTGTGTGCAGTTTGCCTGCATGTGAGCATATATACGTAGTTAATCCCACTTTTAAAAATAAGGAAATAAACTTTGGTACATCTAGATGATGGAGTGTTATTCAGTGATTAAAAAAAATGAGCTATTAATCCATAAAAAGACATGGAGGAAACTTACATGCATATTACTAAGTGATATACATGGTGGCCTTTGACCACCATGTTTCCCATTGGCCTATGACCCCCTGGCCTCCTCCTGTTTGGGTGTCAAGGAGGCCTTGTTCTCAGCAGCTGATGCTCCCTGAGATCTGAATTGGTCCTAATGTTGTGCCATCCTGTAGAGGGCCAGCCTGGAATGTGAGCACACACACTTAGGGTCTCCACGTACCATTGTGCGGGTCGTGCACTGCACGAGCACACCTCATCCACAGCAGCAGGCACAGATGGTATAGTTACAATTCTCATCGTCCAGCAGATGGCAGTCAAGCGTCTTGTTCCAACAATATCTGACTGTTACGCCAGTTTGCCAACAGATGTCAGTAAGGTGTTTTGAGGAGGTGATGTCTTCTAATTAGCACAAAGGCACTGTATGGGCTAGCAGTGGCCTGAACCAGCCCAGACTTGGGGGTGATTGAGACTGGGCATTCAGGAAACTGTTCTCTAGAAACCTTCGTCCTGTCCCTCTGCAGAGGTAGGTGACCATGGACCCTCAGATCAGGAATTCCCTCCCTCCACCCATTTCTATTAAAAGCATCATATTCTTACCTCTGGACTCCAATCCTTCTTTTCTCTCTCCCCTCTCCCTCACCCAATCAGTCATAGAGTTTTGCCAAATTTCCTGATACTGTCCCCCAGGTAGAAAACTTTCTCTCTCCCAGGGGCAGGCAAGCCCCCTGGGCAGGCCCGCCCCATTTACAGTATCACTTCCCAACCGGCCTTTGGGCTACTGGTGTGTCCCATTCCCTCCAGATCCAGCCCTTTATCCCTTACACACAGCTGCTGGAGTGACTTCCCAAACACCTTCTTCCACATGAGCTTCTCCATTTATAAACCCTCAGAGCCTCTCCATTGCCATGAATATTGAGTCCAAGTCACATCAGGTCGTTCTAGAGAGAGCAGACTGATTCTGTGGGCCCGAAGGGTAGACAAGGCCTAACGTGAAGAAGGGCATGCCCAGAACCTATGCTCTCTGGCGTGTGGTGGACTGCTCTGAAAGTGGTCACATGTGGCAGGGAGCCAGCAGAGGGGCTCAAGTGTCAGATGGGTTCAGCGACAACAAAGTTTTTTTCTTGGGCTCTAGGGCTTTATGTCTTAGCTTCCCTTTGTGACTCCACACTGCCTGGGAGAGATCTGTGCTTATAGGACTCTGGGGATTGAGTGGAAATAGGCATTCTTTAATTTTACCCTTAGGGGCCAAAAACCTGAGTTTGAATCCTCATTCTGTCCTTTAGATGCTGTGTGACCTCAGGCAGATCTCTTGCCCTCTCTGAGTCTCCGTTTCCTCATCTCTTAAATGAGGGTGATAATAACTGCCTCCCAAGACTGCTGTGAAGATTTCCTTTAACTTTTAATTATGAATATTTTAAACAGAGAAAATGGTACGACGAACCCCCATATACTTATTACCTGGCTTCAACAATTGTCAACTCAAAGCCAGTTTTGTTTCCTCGGCATTTCTCCTCTTAATCTCCTTTTCCACTGGATTATTTAACAGCAAATCCCAGACATATAATCATTTCACCCATAAAGACTTCAGTATATTTCTGTAAGAAATTAGAACTGGTATTTTTTTTTTGGCCTCAAGGGTGACAACAGTACCATTATCATATCTCACACGTTGATAATAATTATTTAGTAACACTAAGATACTTCAGTTTTCCTTGACTGTCTCATAAATGTCTTCTCACAGCTGATCTGTCTGAATCATTTGTGATATGCTTCTTACATCCCTTTTAGACCATTAAACTTCTCTCTCCCACTTTTTCTCATTTATTCATAGAAACAAATCAGATCATTTCTCTGGTAGAGTTTCTCATAGTCTGGATTTTGCTGACTGCCTCCCACCACTTCATTGGTGTTATTTAACGTGTCCCCTGGTCCCCATATTTCTTATAACCTGGTAGCTAACCTGGAGACCTGACCAGATTCAGCTGTGCAGGAGGCGCTGTCCTCAGGAGGCACATAAT